GCTGTTCCCATCCCCCAATTCCCCAATAAAAAATCTTTAAAAAAAAAAAGAAAAGAAAATATCAGGGTGTATCACGCATAGTAAGGATAAGCCCCTGGTTAGTGAAAAATTCTGTCAGTTATGTGTGTGTTACATAGATGTTACAGGTATCTCATACGCATGTGTCCTGGATCGTGGTATAAAGCCAAAATGTATTTTCTGATTGTAGATTGCCATCAAATGTATTTATTCTAGATTTCTCCAACAATGTTTGAGAAGCACTGTTCCCGAGTACTTCTAGTACCCCCAATACCCTGACACTGCAACCTCCGACAGTCTTACCCACATATAAACTATTGGCTTGTTTATGTGACCAACTGGGGCGTAGCAAGAATACACAGCACTGTTGGCCTCTGCTCCTCGTTAAAATAGGAAACAGACTGAATAGAGGTGGAGTGTATTCACAATGTTTAACCCTCAGCATGAAACTCTTTCTTCCAGCCGAGCAGCTGTATACAATGTAAGCATTTAAAAGTTTCTTCTTGCTTGAAAATAAAAGACACGGCTTACCTCGTGTGGGAGGTGTCCCCTGAGATGATGGGAAGGTGCGGTCTGCCCTCGAGCCTGAACCACATGAAGCCGTAGGCATTCCTTTTGCTCCCTCAGGCGTGCTGCCTGGGGGCTTCGAGGGAACAGGGCTGAGAGCTGGCTGCGGAGTGCTTGATGGGGTCGTCGTGGAAGGAGGAGCTGTGGTGGTGTTTGGGGTGGTACTCGAATGTGAAGGTTTAGAGGGCACGTCTGTGGTCAGGGATTGTGTGGGTGAGGCTTGTGTGGTTCGGGTTCCTGTCAGCTGGACTTCTTTCGGCTTGGCTGTTGTCGTCTGGGTTGATGCCACCGGGATTGTTGTATGTTTTTCTGTTGGCTTGGCTGTTGTTGTCTGGGGTATTGCCACCTGGGTTGTTTTCTGGGTTATTGTCGTCGAGGTTGTCGTGTTCAGGGTTGTCGACTGGCTTCCTGTTGTCTTGGCTGCTGTCTGGGTTGGTGTCGTCAGGGTTGTGTTCTGTGTGTTCTGGGCTGTTGTGCTCTGGGCTGTTGTGCTCTGGGCTGTTGCCTGCAAGGTTTCTGCAAAGACAACACAGCATCAAGTTAGGGTTTTAGCTGGAAGTTTTTCTCTCTGCTTCTCCAACGGGTCCTTGATATACCCAGATTTTTCTGGGGTTTGAGAAACCTCTACGAGGGAGACTGAGAGCGAGGCGGAGGGAATCCAGGGAAGTGCTGCTGAAGGGAAGGAAGACGAGGTCAGCCAGGCCGGCTGCATACGGAAGCCCACAGTGAGTTTCTGCCCTCCCCCATCGGCCCACGCACAGGCCCTTAAGTTTTCAATCTGCCACCGCAGAGCCAGGCCACCACGATCGCCCCAGGCACAGGACCCTGCAGCAGGGCCCACGGGCTCATGCTTACGGAATTGTCCAGTTCTAGGCATGGCTAGAGAGACACGCCTCTGTTCTCAGGGGAGTATAATCTACAATAGAAGGAGACAACGCCAAGAAAGCTGACATGACACCAATTACTATTTCAGTACAATTGTGGGACACGCTAAGGGAGAAAAGCACAGCGCGTTTTGACTGTGTGTAGCGTGGTAGCTTAACCTTGTCAGGGGGTCAGGGAACGAGAGGCCTTCTGTTTGTCTATTTGGCAAGCGATTTATTGAGGGAGCCATTAAATGACAGGTTCCCGGTCAGGCCCTGGGATACAATGGTGAATAAAAAATATAAAACATACCCGCAGGGCGCTCACATGCTAGTGGGGGAGGCAGAGGCAAGTAGACAGAACCATTAAACGTCAAATTCTGACTCTACGGAGGACATGAACAAGGAAATGATGCAGAGAACAGGGGGAGGGGGCTGTTGAGCCAGGGAGCTAAGGGAAGGCAGCTCAGAGATGTCCAATAAGCTAAGACTTGAAAGATAACAAGGAGAAAGCTGTGTGGAACACGGGAGGAAGAATGTAGCAGGCAGAAGGAACAGAACCTGCAAAGGCCCCCAAACAGAGAGAAGAGCTGAGAGAAGACAAGTGTGAATGGCATTTAGTGAGCGAGGGGGAAAAGAGCAGAGCTCAGAAATGCAGGGCCTCACTTATTGTCCAAACCGTACATTTCTAAGAATAAAAGGGGGACTCCCTTAAAAATTGTGTCCTAAGTAAAATGAGATGTAAGATCGCCCTCCTTGGAGACCACAATTAGGATTTTAGATTTTACCGTAAGTTCAAACGGAAGCCACTGAAGACTTTAAGGCAAAGAGAAGCCTTACAGGGTGATTTACTAAGAAACACACTCTTGCTGCTTTGGAGAATATGTATTGGAAGGGAGAGAAGAGGCTATTACAGAAATGCAGATGAAATGGATGATAGTCAGCAGTATTAAGTTATTCACACAAGAGCTGGAAAGAGGGTGGATTCAAGGCTATATTTTGGAGAGAGACTCAAATACCTGCTGATGTACTAAGCAAAAGGAAGAGGAGAATCCGGGACAATTCTTGGTTTTCTGTCTTGAGCAGAAAGGAGGGAGTGGAGGGGATGGGGTGTGGTAGACCTTGGCCACTCTCTGTAGCCAAGGTCTACAATATCAGAATCGATACCGTTTTTCTGTATTTGGGGAGCAGGATCTGTCTCCTATTATAGATACTGAACATGCCAGATATTTTCTTTTCCAGCCCCCCATGGGATTGGAGCACAAGCATGGGCTAAGCTGCCATAAATTGGATACTTCAGTCGCAGCCAGGGAGCAAAGAGGCAGTAGACTACGAGGAACTCGGACGGCAGTAGCAGCGAAATCATGCTCAAGTACAAGCAGCAGTGGAGGTGATGCTAGAGCAAAGGTCCAAGCCGGAGCCACAGCGCCCAATGCTG